TTGTAGATGTTCTTTAAATCTTGTTTTAAAACTTCGAGATGTTTGACCTATATAATAATTGCTACAGTCACTACAGTTTATCTTATAGATTCCTGATTTGTTGTACATTTCGTCTTCATTATTTTCTGTGTATTTGATTTTTTTTTTATTAATTGGTATATATTGTTCTTAGTTCTGTAACTTACTCTTATATCCGAGTTTTTAAAAGTATTTCTTATTGCTTTAGTCGTATATTTGTTATAAGGTTTACATATATATTTCTTTTTCTCTTCATTTTCCGTTGATTTTCTTTGCTTTTGTATATTGTTTTTCAATTTCTTCTTTATCATATTGTCTATCATTTTTTCCATGTATTGACTTTTTTACATTTAGTTACTTATACAAATATCAAATCACGTTTGTTCCGCTCAACTGGCTTTCACCTCTCTGAAATCAACCCTAGTAAATTTATTTTCCTGTACAGCTGGATGTCTAGTACTTGTTCAACAACTGATTTTTGTATCAACAATGTTTGTTTGTAGGAGCAGGGGAGCTCACAAGGGCAGGAACCAGGAGGCCTAGCCCAAGAGGTAATATTGGCCTTAGCCAACCGATTTAAATTTAATTTTAAAATAGCGCATTACTAAGTAGCTAAAATCTAAAATTTAAAAAAATCACCCTACTTTGCTTGTCATCAACACAATTATGTGCCAAACGGGGAACACTGATGAGTGTAAAGCACAATGCAAGCCCCGTAAAAGGTCCATTTTGAGTGAAACATTCTGTTTGTTCAGATCAATGACATCGGATAAAAACGAGCAAGTCAGGATACCTTTAAGTTTTTTAAGCTGTAGAAATGTTTTTCAAGTTAAGCTTTTATAATATATTTTTGACCTTACATATTTATTCTTGGTACAAAATCGGTACAGTCCAGGGCTTCCAGTATTTTTCTTATTTTATTTCATTGACATTACGATAAAAATTAATGATTTCCTGCATTTATGGTTTTTTAACAAAAATTACAGTATCACACATTATCAACAACTTAGTTTTAACCTGAGTTATCGACTCCTAACATGATAATGTCAAGAAAAAACAGTTAAGATAAAAGCTTAACCTATTTTACTACTAAGATAGGTCATAGCCATAATAAAGTAGTTAAAAATTAGGTTAAGAATTTTTAGGAATAAAAATGTTTGCAGCTGTGTTGTTGAAACGAGCCGTAATATTCTTTTTTCGCTGTCTTTCAGGTTCGATGGAACAAATACCTGATCCTACAGCGGTGGCACAGGCCCTACTGAACTGGTATTGCAACCATTATTAAAAGTATGTATAAATGTTTTAACTAAAATAATATTAACTAGGAGAAACCCGTCGAAATGGACGGTTAGGGGCCTCTTCGTTTATATGGGCGTGCGGCTTCATTGGCAACAAATAATGCAAATGACATAGCAAAGTGGCATTTCCAAAAAGCAAAGAATACTGTAAATTGGCTGTTACGTAAATATTGACGTTTAAATGCATTGTTAATCAACGTATCTTATAAAGGATGATGTGATCTAGTTTAAAAGGAATATATTGACCTTTCTCTCATGACAGTAGCTGCTTAAATAGTAGGGCCTATTTACTCTTTGTGCCATTTTTACAGCCAAAATGTCATGTTATTTTCAATAATGTTACCAACCTAGTGGGCCATGGTCCGTAATATAGGCCACTGCAAATAATTTGTAAAAGATAGGTACTGGTACCATTCAAGTCAAGGTTTCTGTGTTTGGATGTTATTAGACACAACTAAACTAACTAAATAAACTAACAACATTTTTTTGTCTGTAAGAGCTCGATGAACTTCTTCTACAGATAATTAATCTGTTGGGAAAATATAAGCCGAACTCGCCTTTGGCTCGCTGGGGGCTCCGCCCCCAGGCCCCCTTTTTTGGTAGGGGGTAAATAGAAATGGGCCATGGCGCAACGCAAGACCTGCAATTGAGCCAAATTTCAGATCTTTAGCTATTCTAGAAGTGGGTAAAATTGATTTAGACCGATGCACCTGTAGGAATAACATTGGGGGGGGGATTCTATATTTCGTGGGGGAGGGAGTTATATTTGTAAAATGTCACTTTTCGGAAAGGGCGCAAGATCTACAATCATGCAAAATTTCAGATATCCAGTTAATCTAGAAATGTGTAAACGTGATTTAGACTTATGCATCTGTAAGAATAACATTGGGGGGATTTAATATTTGGGGGGGGGGTTGTAAATACGATAGGGGGATGAAACCTTAAGTAAACCAGAGTAAATGTATAGCATGAACGGACCATGGGAACGGGGACTTATGGTGGTTTTTATGGGGTAAATGTTTTCTCCATAAGAATAACATGGGGCTCGTAAAAACTTTCAAATGTTGACATTAAACCTAAGTTTTGGGGGTTAAGGAGTAAAGTTACGGAAAAACACGTATAGTGTAAAATTTAAACTAAAGTAAGGAGAATACAAAGCAATAATGATATTTGCAAAAAGGAATGATTTAAGTATGAAAAAATAGCGAAAACCGGTAAAAAGTTTAAAGAAATTTACCAAATTTTGAAAGTAGGGAGTTTTTTTTACCCGAAAAAGTGCGATTTTCGGAAAACACCGACGAGGGTTTTGTAGAAAATTTAATTCCTGTTCCTGGATATTCTTTCAAATCTTTTCTAGCTCTTACTGTTTTCGAGCTAAATCCGTTTGAAAAAAACGTGTTTTATCGTTTTCAGAGGTCCGCCATTTTGGATTTTTGGCGGGGTTAAAATTTGAAAATGGGACTTTTGCAAATTTCACCGTTAATATAAGATCCCCTACAACAATAATACCAAGTTTCAAGTCTCTAGCACGTTTCTAAACGGTTCAGATGAGCACACCAAAGTCGACCACTTTCAATGTTATTCTCCATAAGAATAACATGGGGCTCGTAAAAGTGGCAAAAAACCTTCAAATTTTGAGATTAAAATTAAGTTTTGGGGGTCAAGGAGTAAAGTTACCAAAAAACATGTAATGAGTAAAATTTAAAGTAAAGTAAGGAGAATACAAAGCAATAATAATTTTAAAAAAAAAATTATTTAAGTATGAAAACATGGCGAAAACCAGTAAAAATTGAATAAAAATTTAACAAATTTTGAAAGTAGGGCGTTTTTTGAAGCTGAAGGAGTGCGATTTTTGGAAAACGCCTATGAGGGTTTTGGATAAAATTTAATTCCTGTTCCTGGATATACTTTCAAATCTTTTCTAGCTCTTACCGTTTTCGAGCTACATCCGGTTGAAAAAAACGTGTTTTGTCGTTTTCAGAGGTCCGCCATTTTGAATTTTGGGGGGGGTTAAAATTTGAAAATGGGACTTTTGCAAATTCCACCGGTATTGTAAGACCTCACACTACAATACTACGCAAATTTGAAGTCTCTAGCACGTTTCTAAGTTGTTCAGATGAGCTTACCAAAGTCGGCAATTTTCAATGCTATTTCCCATAAGAATAACATGGGGGGGGAAATTCGAGATTACGGGGGGGTTAAAATTTAAAAATGTCACTTTTTGGAATTTTATGGGTGGTTTGGGCACTAGACCTACAACCACCGAAAATTTCAAGTCTCTAGCTCATCTAGAAGTGGTCTAGAATTTGTATACCTGAGTGAGTAACAATTGCGGCTGTATAGTATTTAGACTCGCCTTTGGCTCGCTGGGGGCTCCGCCCCCAGGCCCCCTAGCTGTTAGTCGTCATTAGTAGATTAGGAAGGGGTGAGAGGCCATCACCAAGAAGCCGGGGAAATTTCAAGCCCGTAGCACACCTAGAAGTAGTCTAGAAAGCACTCTCCGCATCTCTAAATTCTTTGTGGGGTTGTAATAGCGAAAATCGATATTGAAGTAATAACCATTTCACAAAATATTCGAGTAGATTGATAAGTAGAGAATAGTAAAGTATTATATTAAGTAAATAGTTTATCGTAAATATTCATGTATATGTTTATGAAAATAGATGAAGTTATTTTTGTTTCCCTGTCAGTTAGCCACAAACTGTATGGCATATCCAGTTCCGCCACGGGGAGGCCAGGAAACGTAGGAACCATATTAATTTACAATTATTTATATTAACAGTTATAGTATTTCAAGTAAAGAGATGTTAGTAAATATTTATAAATTTATTAATGAAAATAGATCAAGTAATGTTTGTTTCCCTGTCGGTTAGCCATAAACTGCAAGGCATATCCAGTTCCGCCACGAGGAGGCCAGGAAACGTCGGAACCATATTTACAATTATTAACACATGTACAAGTCAGTAAAATTTTGGATAAGATAAGTAGATTGATAAGTGAATAAGTTGATAATAGTAAAGTGTTATATTAATAAAATAGATTATAGTAGATATTCATGTATATATTTATGAAAATAGATCAAGTAATGTTTGTTTCCCTGTCGGTTAGCCATAAACTTTATGGCATATCCAGTTCCGCCACGAGGAGGCCAGGAAACGGCGGAACCATATTTACAATTATTTACAAATGTACAAGTTAGTAAAATTTTGTATAAGATAAGTAGATTGATAAGTGAATAAGTTGATAATAGCAAAGATAATAGTAAAGTGTTATATTAACGAAAAAGATTATAGTAGATATTCATGTATATATATTTATGAAAATAGATCAAGTAATGTTTGTTTCCCTGTCGGTTAGCCATAAACTTTATGGCATATCCAGTTCCGCCACGAGGAGGCCAGGAAACGTCGGAACCATATTTAGAATTATTTACAAATGTACAAGTTAGTAAACGTTACTAACTAGGTACCTAAAGAAATATAAACAAAAACTTAACTAACTAATAAAAAGAAGAAAAAAATATATACAACAACGGGGACTTTTGATAAGGCAGGCCCCCTATCGTACTGCCAAACTAAAATACTAAAAACACACGAAAAACGACTTATTTCTAAAGAAAAAACCAAAAGAAAATATATACAACAACCTACAGCTAAAGTCAAGTCAGGGAAAGTCAAGTCAGGGTTAGAGGAGGAGATCGTCATACACGATATTCTTCGCGTATGCGATTCCACCTTGGACACGGTCGGGACGGACAAGGACGACTATATGGTCTGGATGCCTGACTCTACTGAGCAGGACGTACAACTGACCATGAGTGAAACAGTCACTGCGAAGATCGACTCCGACGCGATCAATCGTCTGGCCCTGGCTTTTGTGGCCAGTCATGGAATATGCCAGCATGAGAGGAAACTGAAGACGGCGGACACGAAGCGGTGACCCCTCAACGAACGGGAAAACGAATTGAATCCGGGGAATACAAATCGGATCATGTTGTCCAGGGAGTCGCACTGTGATCAGACGAGGTCTTATTGCAGTCACGATCACTTTAGTGCCGTTTACGAGTCCGCTGTCAATGTTCAAGTTCCTCATGACGAGACACACGGAGCCAATCTTGAGTCGCAGGACATGGTCTGGTACACCCTTGCCAGTAGCTTGGTTCAACAAGTGAACGTCTACATCCATACCATCGTCGTTCTCCTTGTCGACGGAATCCGCACTCCTCAACTCATGAACGACGCCGTCCATCAGGTTGAGAACGGTGTTGTTGATCTGCTGGACATTGGCGTTCATGGTTGAAAGAATGGACCTGCCAGCAATTCTGTCAGTGTGGTGTAGGTCACAAGCAGGAAACACAAAATCGATCAAGTCGGGAAGGGATGTCACGTATTTCAGTGGGATCAGGCCAACAGAGTCACGGCCTTCCCCAAATGGAACAGATGAAATTGTTCCATTGCCTACTTGAAGGAGGAAGTCAGAGTAGGCAGTGGACCCAGAAGTCCGGTGAGGGGTGGACAGAGAAAAGATTTGGAAACTTGACCAAAGAGATGACGCACGCAGTGATACACAGGCAATGTCGGCCGGAGTACGAGCCTTTGCAACAACTGGTGCGATCTGACGGAAATCCCCGCAGCAGATAAAGATCTTATTCCCGAATGGCTCAGGTGAATTCATGAGGTCACGCAGAGATCTGTCGATGATTTCAAAAATGTACCGGTGAGCCATCGGGGCCTCATCAAAAACAATGAGCTGTGCTGCTCTGATGAGTTCTGCTCGCTGAGACCCGTTCGTCAAGTTCCAATATCCAGTGCCATCGCCGAGATCAAGTGGTAGCCGAAACATGCTGTGTGCTGTCGTGCCACCTGGCAGATTACCAGCGGCAATGCCGGAGCTAGCGACAGCAATAGCGACCTGGTTACGACTACGGACGTATGCAAGAATAACATGTATTAGACAGGTCTTGCCGTAGCCTCCGGGTCCGTCAAGAAAGATAAGTTTTTTAGACCGGCTGTAGACTTGGCCCTGCAGTAGAGACCGAACATAATCGAAGACCGCCCTCTGGTCGCGGGAAAGTTTAGGTTCCCACTCATCTACAAGTGATCTCTGACGATTTTCACCGTAGATGAGAAGTTCCCTCCCCAGTTCGGTCGTGTCGTCGTCTACAGTAGGGAGACCGTGATCGGCCAAGCAGGATCCCTGACGTCGAAGGCTTCGATCGATCTCAATCAGAGCCAGCTTGTACGCAACCTCGTGATCAAGAGGATTCCGCTCCAAATGGTCTTCGCACAATGCGTCACGGAAAGCATCCCACAAGAGGGCCGCAGGAGCTCCCATGTTGCACAGAAGGACAAAGAAAGAGCGGAGCCTCGGGCCGACCATGAAACGAGCTGCTTCCTTGAGGGCTTGGTGGTACTCGTCCTCGTCCTCAACCAAACCGAGGGTGCGCGCAACCTGTTGATATGTCGTGCAACCATCACCACCACGAGCAAGCAGGTCGGCGTATCCCCGGCACGGAATGACCATCAAAAGGAGCCTAAGAAAGTACTGCTCGCTTCTGTTTGGCGAGACCCAGAAGAGACGACAGATCTTTTGACCACGCTTTCTTGAGGTAAGGAAATGCTTGCCGTCTGGATGGTCGTACACCTCAGCATTACTAGGGCGTTTGTTATGAATAACGTACTGCTCGAAAAAAGACTGGTAGGTTAAATCGTCGAATACCGAGTCAAGAGGCCTATTGAAATACAAGAGCAGGTCAGAGGTAGCTCCCGAAGTGGCGTGTGTCAAGTTGTTAGGGCGGAAGCACACAGTCTGTTTTCCCTCTAGGTGGACAGGGAGACAATCGACTGTGGGCTCAGACTTTGAGATGGGAAAGTCCAAGAGACGCCAGCATGCATCGCTGGCTCCCACCATACGCTTCGTGACGTAGTGCTCAACTTCATCGTCTTGTTTACTAAGAGGAGTAACTTTGACGTTCTGAAGCGAGCCACCCTTCATGAGGTATTTAAACAGATACTTGATCACACGACGAGTGGAAGCTACCTCCAAGTTGATGTGTGCCTCGTATTTAAGTAGTAATGCCGAGTTGTACGGAACGACCCAGCCGTCATGTACAGGAATCGATTTGTTTCTTGAAGTTATACTCCCCTCGTTACCATAATCACGTCGATATTTTACAAAGCCCCTCTCGTCTACATGGGTTGATTCACAGGGAGGTTTGGGGAAAAATTTTGAACAGCTGCCTTTGGCAGTGTCCCAGCAAGGGAAGTCGGTCCTGTGATCCGTACCACAAGGGCCGTGGATCATGTGCCGCAGAACCAACGCCCTTAATCGGCCTCCTGCCTCCTCCGGAGATGGAATGTCAGCGCGGATGAGGGAGTCTATGTCCGAAGCCTGCACTGGTCCATCGCCATCGATTTTGAACACGATGTGGGCATGTGGAAGACCCCGCATCTGCATCTCGATGACGTGGACTATGTAGATAGACCGACCGAACATAGCTCCGCTGCGCAAATCACGGAGGAGTTCCAGCAGTTTGATATAGAAAACTCTGCAGGCCGTGCTGGGATCACTGCGACCGCTATTTCGGGGACAGGCTTTTTTGTTCTCCTCCCAAGTCGCACTATAAGTGAATGTGAGAAAAAATGTGGGGAAGCCGAGACGTGAGACCAATGCCATAGCATTCGAAGTTTCATATATCTCGGCCCCCCGGTAAACGAACTTGGGAGGTAAACTTTGCCAGCCTGTACCCCACCCTCCCCCTGAACTGTCTCGTCATTGTTAATGTCGTTGAGCACTTGCCGTCCACCACGATTCGCCGCTTCAATCTCATCCAACGGCCCTATCCTCATGGCATTTTCAGCTGCCTTCGTCTGCGTGAACTTGATGTAGTTGAGCTTCTCGTCCTCGTATCTGGCATACATTTCAACCTGCCAAGCTTGAGACAGTCGGCCGAGGTGTGAGAAACGAGGCTCAGACAGCAGAAGGCAACGGGAATAATCATACTGGGACAATTTGTTGTTAAAATTGTCGCGGCGACCAATATGCCAGCCCAAAGTGCCTTGAGGATAGAGCAGAGGGTACTGGAAGGGTTCCATGAGGGGACTGAAAAGGTTGATAGAAGTGGGTCTTCCGGATCCAACTTTCCATACGGATAGCTTGCGGGGCTCGTAAACTGTCTCGTCGGTGCTTATGACAGCGTGCACCTCAACGCCTGTTTGCCTGTCGCCTAGAACGGGACCATGGGTAGATCTACTTGTCACTTGGAAATCCAAGTGAGCGTTCACAGCTGGCTCACTACCCAAACGCCGATAGTGAGTGACGTATGGATTCTGCTGTGACAGGTATCGATTGATAGAGTCAACAACGTCACCGTCAAGTGATCTACCCAAGGCAATGTTCCGCCGTTCTTCACCGTCGTCGATGTAAAGACGGGACCGGTTCACAAACTGAACGTCCCCAGCCTTAGTGGTAAACTTTTGACCAGGGTCGGACAGATTGTAGACCTGGTGGTACATTCTCCCTTCGATTTTAAAGAAAGAGAGGCCACTGGGGTGCCTGTACCCACCAGATACCTCTAAAGCACAGAACGCAAACAGGTCGTTGTAGGCACGAGCCCTATCGAGAAAACGCCGATCCGAATAGAAGGATTCATCAAGAGGACTTAGATCAAGGACGTTGTATGCCCCTTGTCTGCAACACCACTTCTTCCTACCCTTTTCCTCCTCAAAAAGTGGAGCGCCACAGTGCATACATTTAAAAATATCACTGTCCCAAAGACTAACTTTTTTAAGACTAAAAGCTGGAATATCATTCAACAGCTCCCCCTTCCAAGACCCCATTGGACCGTGATCGGAAATGCTTTGAGCAAGTGAAGCTGGCAAGTGACGAAGATCGGTAAATAGAGGATTTTTCAGACGGAAAATCTGCACCCTTTGTCGAGAGGCATCAGGATTTCGTTGGCTATATCGACCAACCGCCTCTCTGTTGACCTTAGGGTGACTCTGGCTGTAACGCTCAACAGCTGCCCTGTTGACCTCAGGGTGCGTTTGGCTATAACGGCCAACTGCAGCCCTGTTGACCTCAGGGTGCGTTTGGCTGTAACGCCCAACAGCCGCTCTATTTACCTCAGGGTGATCTTGGGAGTATTGTTTTTTGTCATCCCTGATTTGATCGGTGTGCGACTCCCTATACTTCTTTTTAGCCGCATTCACTTGTTCTTCCCTTGTGGTTTCCAAAGTTTTCGGGCGTCCACGTTTGGCTTTTTTAGGTCTTCCGGGGCATTTTTTTGGGGCAGAAACTGTCTGGGAGGGGGGGATAGGTTGTGGATCATTATCGATACGTTCGATCGACCGGACAGTGAAGTCAATTGAAAACCTAAGTTTCATGATGCTGTACTGTCCGCCGACGAACGCACAATTCACCAATAAAAGTGAGGCTAGTGTAGGGAAACTCCCACATACGAATAACCTAGCCTTATTTTTATCACATTCAATATCTCTACGACGGGTTTCATTCACGGCGTGTGAATCAAATAAATAGAAATGATCTTGGTGACGCCAAAATGCAACAGTCACCAGTTGCCCCGTGAAAAGAAACCCGCCGTCGAGAGAATCAGTGGGCATGGCACTCTCCAAACTGGATGATAAAGACTTGACAGCCTCATCCAAGCCATCAACACAAGTCGGATACAACCCGTTAGAAACATGCGTAATTTCCTCAATGGAAATCTGTTTCTCCGCAATATCAAATTTCTTGGACAGTTCCTCGGGGAACAGGAACCTGTCAACGACGCAATACTCATGGCGAGATTTCGCATATAGGCGATCGCCGGCCATGAGTATTTCATCGATGGCGGATGAACTGAAACCTCCGCAGAACACTTGCCAGGCAAGGGCACAAGCTGCATTGGCCACGCACTGAGCGTTGTTACTATCAGTGAATCGTGGATCTCCCTGATGGAAAGAACCAGCAGCTACACAAGTGTAATCCATGCTTTCAAGCCAATTTAAAACAAATAATTGTGTATCGCAAATTGGCAAAAAGCACAAGTCCAAATAGGATTAAGTGATGGTGAATATTTAACAGGTATAGTCAAATATGGTAGCAAAAATAAGAGCGAGAACCAAATCATTATACTGCATTACCGACCAGGTATAGTCAAATTTGGTAGCAAAAATAAGAGCGAGAACCAACTTGTTGTACTGCTTAATCAATAATCCGCCATTATTAATTTTTAGGGGGAAATGAGTAAAATTAAAAGTAAACTAAGGACAATACAAAGCATTAATAATATTTGAAGAAAAAAATTACGGAGGAAAGAAAAGTGAGAAAACCATTAAAGTTTAGAAAGAAATTTGCCAAATTTTGGGGAGTAAAATTTGAAAATGAGATTTTTGCAAATTTCACTATTAATTTAGGATCCCATACTACAATACTACCAAATTACAAGTCTCTAGCACGTTTCTAAACGATTCAGATGACCATAACAAAGTCGTTAAATTTAAATGTTATCCTCCATAAGAATAACATGGGGCTCGTAAAAACTTTCAAATTTCGTCATTAAAATTAAGTTTTGGTGGTCAAGGAGTAAAGTTACGAAAAAACATTTAATGAGTAAAAGTTAAAGTAAAGTAAGGAGAATACAAAGCAATAATAATATTTGCGAAAAGGAATTATTTAAGTATGAAATAATAGCGGAAACTGGTAAATATTTGAAAGAAATTTACCAAATTTTGAAATTAGGGCGTTTTTTGAAGTTGAAGAAGTTCGATTTTCGGAAAACGCTTAACAGGGTTTTGTAGAAAATTTAATTTCCTTTCGCTAAGATTGTTTCAAATCTTTTCTAGCTCTTACCATTTTCGAGCTACATCCGGTTGAAAGAAAAGTGTTTTTTCGTTTTAAGAGGTCCGCCATTTTGGATTTTTGGGTGGGTTAAAATTTGGAAATGGGACTTTTGCATATTCCACCGGTAATGTAAGATCTCTTACTACAATACTACGCAAATTTGAAGTCTCTAGCACGTTTCTAAACGATTCATATGACCATACCAAAGTCATTAAATTTCAATCTTATTCTCCATAAGAATAACATGGGGCTCGTAAAAGTGGTAAAAAACCTTCAAATTTTAAGATTAAAATTAAGTTTTGGGGGTCAAGGAGTAAAGTTACGAAAAAACATGTAATGAGTAAAATTTAAAGTAAAGTAAGGAGCATACAAAGCAATAATCATTTTTGAAAAAAAAATTATTTAAGTATGAAAAAATGGCGAAAACCGGTAAAAATGTAATAAAAATTTACCAAATTTTGAAAGTAGGGCGTTTTTTGAAGCTGAAGAAGTTCGATTTTTGGAAAACGTCGAAGAGGGTTTTGTATAAAATGTAATTCCTGTTCCTGGATATACTTTCAAATCTTTTCTATCTCTTACCGTTTTCGAGCTATATCCCTTTGAAAAAAAACGTGTTTTGTCGTTTTCAGAGGTCCGCCATTTTGGATTTTTGGTTGGGTTAAAATTTGAAAATGGGACTTTTGCAAATTCCACCGGTATTGTAAGACCTCACACTACAATACTACGCAAATTTGAAGTCTCTACCACGTTTCTAAGTGGTTCAGATGAGCTTACCAAAGTCGGCAATTTTCAATGCTATTTCCCATAAGAATAACATGAAAGGGGGAAATTCGAGATTACGGGGGGGTTAAAATTTAAAAATGCCACTTTTTTGAATTTTCCCAGGAGTTTGGGCACTAGAACTACAACCACCGAAAATTTCAAGTCTCTAGCTCATCTAGAAGTGGTCTAGAATTAGTACCCCCGTGAGTGAGTGAGTGAGTTACACATCGGGCTGTATAGTTATTTAGACTCGCCTTTGGCTCGCTGGGGGCTCCGCCCCCAGGCCCCCTAGCTGTTAGTCGTCATTAGGGGATAGTAGTTTAGTTGCAACAAAGCGGGTAACAAAGCAGTCAGCGAAACAGTCAATATTGCGTTATATCAAAACAATTTCACGAATATATTTGATGAGGCTGGCAAGTTAATTTTAACCTCCAACTTAAAGAACCCATTATAAAAAATCAATTTTAAAGTTGCGGCAAGAGAGTATGTTAGTAAAGTATGTTTACAACTGAATTTTTGAAAAATTTTCGAAAAGGGCGCAAGATCAACAATCATGTCAAATTTCAGATATCTGTACATTGCTTTTGTACTCATTGTCAAAAAGGAGAAAGTGGGTTCATCCGATTAACAGTAAGCGGCAGCGATTTGGTGAATCATTGTAATAATGCAAATAATCATAGTAATACAAATCATTGTAATAATTATTTACTGTACAGTAATTCGTATAAATATACATGGTTATTGGTTAGGATAATTTATTCTCTTTGTAATCTCTTTGGAGTGTAGTCGCAATTTCCAACCAAATTTTATCTTTCTCTTGTTGATCTCTATAAATTTCTATAGTTGTATCC